TTCCCGATTACCTCGCGTTAAAGCAGAGGTTTCCCTTGCTCAGTCGCATTGTCCACAATATTCCCATTTTAAATGCGTTTGTAGGCGATAGTCCCATTTTCCGGGAAAGGCGAAAGAAGCGTAATATCAATGAAATCGAAATCTGCTTTTTTAGCAGTTTATTTTTCTGCTGTGGATACGTGGATTCCCTTTGCGTTGCCTAACTGTATTTGCCCTCCGATCTTTCGTCTCTCTCTCTCTCTCTCTCTCTCTATATATATATATATATATATATATATATATATTCGCGCCAGCTTTAAACAAGAACGAACGATAGTGTGTGTGTTGGCTTTCAAGATGACTCTGTCCATCTTAACGGAATGCAACATGGCATGAATTTATCAGTAATAATCCGCCTTTTACTGGTAAGCTTTTGTTGTTTCGCCATAATGCACAATTTACCGTTCACCTACCGTTTTATACGGCCCGATAGCCATGAAAAAGTTGTAAATGTTAAGGCATAACGTCACCGACTGTCCCGCGCTGGTGGCTTTGCTAGGCGAAACAATAGAGGTTGCATCCTACGTAATTATGCCCCAGACCATGCCTTAGCAAAATAGACATTCTAAAACATCCTATCCAGGTTAGCACATTTGGCAAGGCATCTTCGCAATGATCACGGCTCAGGATCCCCTTTCTATTAGTAGCACGCAGTTAACGATGTCGTTCATGTATGTGCAGCTATTTACGCCCTTATACCATAAAGCGGAATAACGTAGGAATCGGGATGGCGACTTGAATGAGAAGGTGCCTTTGGTTTAAACCTGCCCGGTGTGACATAGAGGCCGAGGCAGTCCTTATCCTTGTTTCAGTAAAGTTTCATTTAAACGGACAAATCACAGCTATTCGAAAGTCTTAAGTAGAAGTCCGAAGACTACAAAATACACCACGGAACATTAAGTTCTGTGCTAGTTGCCCCCACTAATTGTCAGGTGTAGTCCCGGAGAGGCCCTGGCATAACTATCATGTATGAATTAAACCCAGATTTCAGTCTTTATACGTTTCGACTAATCCTTAAGGTCATACTTTTGAACTCTCCTAATTATACTTGTCTTTTTCGCTACCTTTTTAAAACATAAAGCCATACAATTAGACAATGATATCATATAAGTGTGCGCCTAAAGGGTTATCACAAACCATGCAGTGTATATGCATTGGATAAACATTATGGTATTACAGATTTTTTTAAGATAAAGGGTTTTTAAAATTGCCCAACCCTTTTCTTATCGGCACCACACATAAGAAATAAGTAGTCTTTTTTCCGTCACCGATACCGGACAGAACCGCTTGCCCGCATGCCATAATTTTATAAGCCTACTGGCGCTTTCATGTTCCTCAAGAGTTGCAGACTGCAATAGAGAGGAAATGGCTGCTAATCAGCTAAAACTGGACGGCTCACCACTGATGGTAGATCGAATATCAAAGGCAAGGATACTGAAGGCACGGAATCCATTGCGACCTTTATCACTTTGACGTCAATAGTCGGCCGCCTCAACGTCCCTAATGTTTTGAACACAAAGGAGCATAACATTTGTCGTATGTGCATATATGTTCGAGAGCAAAAAAATTATCCGCTATATATACATATACATATTATAACGGTCATTATAAGTGCTGAAAATGCACAAAACTTTCGTTCGGCCAGTTGATAACTGATGAATGTTTTCTTCATAGTCCTATTGAATTTTTTTAGTAAAAATACTACTGCATTGTGTCAACCGCATTTTCGCCTTATACTGAGAAATCTTTACCGAAATTCGAACGATTTGGTTACAACAAAAACATAAAAAAGGGCTTAATAGTATAGCATGAGTGGGCACTGCTTCAGACGAAGCATGACGTTGTTCATACCGTAAATCTGATAGTAGTAGGTGTTATTCATCTAGATCTACCATTACCAATGTGTACAATGCTTAGCAAGAATGATTTCATCAGGAGCGAGACTGATTGCCTTATCGGAGACCTCAAGTTAAGGCAGGTGCACCTGAGACGTCTGCGCAGATCAGCTATAATACGTCTACGGCCAAGTGAATATAAAACATCGAATCATATGAAGCCAATTCGAGCAGTGCAGGGCGAACCAAAACTTCGGCTTCTTCTTTTTACATTGATACGAGTTGAGGAAATAATATTAGTAAAAATCTGGTGGTCGCGTCTCAAAACGGGCACCTAGTATCGAGATTGCGTATCTCGAACGTAGGAATTATTTCAAAAGGTATATGTGCGCAATAGAAGTGAATGCTACAAATGCGTCATATACTATAATTCACCGCGTTGTATTATAATCTGCTGTATTCAGCATACATATTTTAAGGATAGCTCTTTAAATATGAACCAACATGAAAAGCTGGCTGGCTACAGAAGGGTGATTGATATATTCATATCAAGCGTCAGCAATCTAACATAACGGACACGGAGAGAGATCGTTCTTTGATATAGCAAAATGTCGTCTTAAACTGAAATACCCGTCTTAGAGCTTTAAACTCAGTACGTCGCCGTATTAGTAAACGTAAAAAATATTTACATAAATATGTTGTTACGTAACATGCGTGTTATTCCTCTCTTGGTAGCACAAAAACTGTTATTAAACGTTAGGAGATATTATTGTCCACTTGCATATTCACACGATCAACAAAGCTGAACTTTAGCATGTTAAGAGTTGAGGATAGGTAAAATAAGATAGTATCTTCTCCTTTTCAACTTCACCAAAAATATAGGTACAGACAAAGTGACCTCAACTATAGAATAGTGACATGAAAAAAAAGTTAATAGAACGTATGATTTGATAAATCCTAGAAAACATTTTGCGTATTGCGAACTTTGTATGGATTCGAACGAAACCATCAAGAGCCGAAGGTTGAAATTTATCTTGCCCCAGCAAAAGTCTTGCGTATTGGCGCGATCATTTCCTCTAGAGTCTTTACCGCCTGTAGCCGCTGTAAAGTGTCCCTGAAGGTGCTTGCCACATTTGTCAACAGATTCCGTCTACAGTTCTGGCTAAAATTAAAGCAACCTGTGTGACACTCTCTATTAGATTCGCTAAAACTTATTTTACTGTAAAATTTTTTCAGCCTTCCTAGTTATTTCCTAACAATCAAGGTTATCCTAAGATCAAGATTAGCCTCTAAGAAACCTCTGTAGACGAAGGTATTATAAGATAAGGCTGGTGCATCGTAATTCTGAGGAAAACCAATGAAAAAAGAAGAATTTCATTGGTCATTTTGAGACCGTTAAAATATAAGTAACGACTAAAAAAAATGCATGATAGTTGGATATCAGCTAAAACATAATCAAGAATTGCAGTTTAGTCTATACGTATGCTCCGTTGTATCCTAGCACATTCTGGATTTGATGTAGTTTTGTCTCTAGCAATGGAACCTAATTTACCAACTTAAAGTTCAATTTGTTTAATAAAATATCGGAACTGAAACACTGTTTCTCGAATAATGAGGTTGAACGCACGACTATGTCTGTAAAAGAACACCTTAATAGAATAATCATTACAGCAAAAATTTTATAGATTTAGTCAACTGCAAAAAATCAGAAGTGAAATTTATTCGAATACAATTTAAATTACGCATCATGGGCAGACGATGTTTTTCGAATATTTGCATCAGGTCTGTAGCGATTTACTGCTACGAGCTGGTTAAGTGTTTTAAGAAAATAATTCGTTCATAGCTAGAGAGATCGTTTAGAACTAAAAATTAACGCCCGGACATTAAGTCTGTTTCTCGAAGGTTGGTGGAATCTATCGAACACTATTGAAAGGATAAGGCAAGGAAGCTTCAGAGAAACAACAGTTTAGGGTTACTGTGATCACAAAAGCTTTTTAGCAAAATAACGCGAAGACAATGCGTTGCGTGTCAGTTTAATATGGAATTCGCTACAATAAGCGTTACGGAATACTAAAAAAAAACAGTAGAGATAATAAAGGAGTGGGGCTCTCACAAGGACACAGGACACACACACACACACACAGGACAAATGACGTGTGTATACTTTAGAGACAATTTGCGTAACTATTAGTAGCAGAAAATCCGCCAGGAACTACCATAGGCGAGACATGGATCAATCTGTCCTGTTCGTGGAAGAAACATAAAACAAAAGAAAAAGGTATCGAACGAGAAACAGAAACAGAAAGAGAAATTTCGTAACTATGCAGAGTTGAGTGTAAGCTAATGCTTATACTGGAAATGGATATCAAGGGCATTTTTGATTTTATGGGATTTTTTTCTGAAAAAAAGGCAAATGCTGCCAGACGTCTTTAATTTCTGAGGAACCTTATGGATACGACAGCACAATACACGGTTACTCCATGACAAAGAACGAGCCTTTTGCTACGCTTTAATGATGAACTAGATTAAGAAAAGCAGAATTAAGCAATAGCGTTAGCTGCCATATTTTTCAAATGCAATTCCATGTGATCTTGATCACTCTCGTGCATTAAAGAGGACGAATGGTGGCGTAACGTATTCTAGCGTAGATTCTCACAAACGAACCACTGATGATATAAATCACAACCTAGCATCTGTTGAAAGATTCTAGAATCCTGGCTTTAATGAATAAATGATGACGAAGTGTATCTGACATTTGCCGGAATATCGTTATTATAGTTTAAATGTCATAAAAACTATTGTAAACTCTGGACACGTATAAGTAATATTCAAAGAGATCAGCGAGCGGTCGGTCACTCTTTTCAAGTTGTAATACGGCATAAATTATGACTTTTGCCGTATTATTTTATCAGGTTACGCTCGATGTTAAACCCTGCTTACTTTTACAAAAGAAATTACTTGTTTTCTTAAAAAGTAAATAACTAACTTCAAGTTAGTCAACAATTATACACTAAGGAACTCAAATAAAATTATGTGCTTGCTTTCCATCTTCAAAAAAGATGCCGTTTTAGTTAGAATGAAATAAAACTATAACGTACATGTAAACATAAATTCATTCGGTTTCAGGTATATCCACTCGGTTAGTGGTGCGTGAGGGGCAACAGACGGAGCTGCCATGCGATATTCGGCCTCATATACCAAACGAGGCTGGTAGTGGAAACAGTAGTGGCAGCCCTGATGGCCTCGCGTCAGCTGCTATTGCTGCTGCAAGGGCAAGTACAAGCATACAGACGTTGCCTCAAGGATACCCAGGAGCTCTGTTAGGGTTATCGGGGCCAGTCGGTGGTGCCAACCAGTCTTCCTTGGCTCTCGTTCGGTGGTTCCATACGCCCGACAAAAAGACACATCATCATCATCACGTGAGAATACACCACCAGCCAGTGTACACTGTCGATTTCGGTACGGAAGGCTCTGCCGCAGATGCACAGCGCTCAAACAACATTTTACAGGTGATAATAAATGTTTTTTTTTAACTTAAAGCCCATAAAGGGTCATTCTAATTTAGAAAGACAAACGGAGGTTGGTACATAACTAATTCAGCGAAATTTGTCCAATGATAATGCTTGCAGTTTATTCAGCGCAAATATGTGTCGCCGGAAATCCTACAGTCTGTTATGAAATACTACAACTACGGGAATTCTTCTTTTTTTTTTGTAAGGTGTTTTTGAAAGCGCAGTAAAATACTAAATCTCTCAAAAACACTCCGATACTTCCCTCAGGAGAAGAATAGGCAATTTACCCACGTCTATATCAATTAGAAAACAGTTTGTAACATAATAGGGAGAATGCTTTTTACAAACTTGCTATACATTTTTAAAATTAGAATTAGGCCACCACGTAAACAATTATTACCTAGTCATCTGGGTAGATTTACAGAACGTGGCAACTAATATGACAAGTTTCATTATTTTAGTTGTTACAATAATATATTCAAAAACTATATCGTCTAAGATGTTTAGATTTCAGCCGGTTGCAATGCACAGAGGCTGTGCCCAAAACCACTTTTAACGATTATATGTGCAATAAATGTGTTAGTTTCCGAATCAGCTTCTTTTTTCTAACTAGAGATTCCGGAGTACTCAAAAATGTCCGTTGGCGTATTTTCAGTTCAACTAGGTTTTTTCAGGTAGCCCATGAGATCCTTCCTCTCGTTTCCCAAAAGCCGTGGAACTACGGGCAACATCCTAAATCGAAACTAACAAATTTAATACTGTAATATACATCTATTGCGGAATTGTATTGTATCTATATAAAAATTACCATTTGTCGCTCGTACTTTGGACTCGGCTTTCCCGGTGGAGTCACTTCTTCTAATATCAGCTTTGTCCAATGAAAATGCAGTGGTTTGATTTTAGCGTTGCTGATTTAAGCATTATTTTATGAAAAATTCCTTTACATAGTTTTACATAGATCTTTATTTCTGTGCAAAAATAACTTGCGATCTAACAGATCGTTATAGGCACAGCTGCAACATCTCAACAAATATGCTAATGACGCTTTTCGATTACTATAAAACTGAAATCGCATTGTATACGTTGTTTACCTTATCATCTGCGACTAAAGGCTTTTTACGACAACAACAGTATTTTACTCTGTAATTATATATAAGTTGCATATTTTATAGATAGATGAATAGCCCTTAAATGTTGTGCTCAAAGCCCAGGACGCCCGTTCATAGAAAAAGAACGGCTACTGAGTTTTTATATTATTTCACGGTCTGGCGTTGGCAAGTATTTGGCCTAAGTTGGGCCGTTTTAGGCTATTTCTACCCATATGCAGTATGCTGACCAGCATAACCAAGGGCTTCTGACGCTTCCCTGAAAGTTGACTTGGTAGGAAATTGCCCATCTGTGGCCAAGATAGCATTACGTTAAGCTCTCCGCAACTAATAAATTTGGAACACGTTAGGTCAGCTGAATTGATTACTTTATTTGGAATACTATATCTTCCCGTAAAATTATAAGATCTATTAACCAAGCCTAACACCCAATCTAACAAAAATGTAAACGCTTCCTGTTCTTTGTTAAAAAAAAGGACCAAAAATTAATTGACAGGCGATTTGTAAATCTGTGTATTTACATAGCACAGAACTCAGTTTCTATGTATATCCCAAATAATTTTTTCGAAAAATCAGTTTTGTGCCTGTAAAAAAATTAAGTTTCTAGTTCCGACACTGATTCGAGATTCGAGTGGGACATATTCCTCACCAAGCTTCAAATTTATAGGCTTAATAGTAATAAACAAAACACATTTTCGATCATAGAAGTTGTATTCGTTAAGTTCTACTGTTGCAAATCAAGATTATTTGAACTTTTACCTTAAAATATCTTAGAACTTTATTACGATTGTTGAGCTAGTGGTTTCAAGACTAAAACCTTGAAACAGTCCTTACATTAAAAGCACGATGGGACTGCCGCGAAACTACAAAAAAGAACAGAAATACAGAACTCTAAAAGTGTTAACTAAACTATGTCTAATCGTGTTAACAAAAATCTAAAATTGCGTAATATAATCAGCGTGTACTCTCCTGTGCACCTGCAATGTCTGTTCCGCTATCTTCCACGTTTAAATGTCGCCCACAAATTTTTAACATGTCAATTTTCTACCATAGTATTTGAAGTTCAAATGTGAGGGCAAGCTAAATTGTGCAGTGAAGCATCTGTTACTTCAACAGAGGTAACTGGCCATACATGAATTATTGTAATGCTGGTAATTAATTTGTGGCATATTCAAACGTGCACACGCGCTGTAACAGCACAATGTGGCTGCTGCCAGTATATTAAATATGATACAGTTTGAAGGTACGATTGATCGATGTTTGAAACCCATTTAAGTAAAGCTGGTCGGAGTTTGTAGGGGGGAGACCACAGAATAATTGGATAAAAGGAACTACAGCTGGGCTATCTGCGGATGTCAGACGGACTGACTCAAAGAATCTGGCATACTCTAAAGATGTTTCCTTAAGATGTGCGCTTGTTTGATCGTCATACGCAAGTAAGCAGCTTTAGACATTTGAAGATAAAATTTCAGCTCGTCTAAATTTACTTTGGCATTTTCTTCAGCGTGCCTTGGGAATATTTGAAGATGCAATTACGATCTCATAGATATTACGTCGAAATAGACGAGCTCGAAGGCAGAGCCAATTCCTTAGAGCAAAATTTCAGTTTTGTCTGCTAGTGGTGTACACCTTATATATTACTCATGTTTTTCCATCCGCAATAGTATGCTAGTGTTAAAAGTAAGAATAGTAATAATAATCTAATCAAAAAAAACTTTTGCCTCTTTAACCTTGATTTGCGTCCGCCTTCTTGAGTCTTGCTGATCAAGCTATGTGTACGAACCATGCGCATACATCCAACTTCTTCTTTGTATACTTCAATTAACGATTAATGAGGCAGATGTCTAGCTAGATATCTTTGTCACTCGGTTGTTCTTCATGTTCCGCAGTAACCAGTAAATAGAGACCTTATGCGACCGTGTGAGCAAAGAAATAGTGGTTACTTTGCTAGTTTGCTCCTCTAAATCCAATCAAAGTCTACTGCTAATGGCCTCTTGCCCATACCGGCTTATTTTCAATCTTGTCGCACGACCATTTGCTAGCCCGGCGAAAAGGTATATCCTAACGTTTGGAGTGGTATTATGCCCTTTTGGGTTGCTAACAACGAACAATTGGGCTGACTAATGACCAAATAAAGCTAAATAAAATGATCAAATAATGATAAAAATAGTTGCTCACCGATAGAGATGTGGACATTACGCTTAGGGTGTTTACAGCACAGATGGCGCGAGCACATCTGGACCACCTAGCGTTTCATGTTGTTGCTGAGTGCTCATGTCATATGGAAAAAAGCGAATACAAAATTAATATTGGTGTTCCATGATAATGGTGAATCATTGCACTAGGTGTTTCCGATAATATGGTTGGTTATTTAGCTATACTAAGTAATCACAACCTCGGAATAAATGGGCCGCTTTCAAATTTCGCCAGTGCGAAGCGAAGGGTTTGTCGTTATGTGAATCATTAGTTACCAAATGATAAATACTTTGTAAACTGCTAAATTATCAGTCAGAAAAGAAGACAGCGCAGTACATAATATAACAAGCTATTATGATTAGTTAGCTGTTACTGAATTTTGGATAAGTATCAAAAATCGAAAAAGTTGCCCAGAGCTCACACTAAACCTTAAATATAATAAACCTAAAATATAAATACTCCTGGAAGCAACTTGAAAAGCTGTTCATACACTCAAAAGCTCGTTCGATATTGTTCACGCTGTTTAAAAACCTACATTAGTGAATTTTCAGTTTGAAATATGGGCCACAAATCGAGTTCGTTCATCTTATCCTGTTCATTTCAGAACCTATAAGATAGGGCAATGCTCAATATGTGCAAATGATACCATTAAACCATGATCCCAATTGAAAAATATCCGATAGGCTTGAATAATGTAGAATTTCATGTTCAGTGGTCTTGCCGCAGGGTTTACGTAGAGATGATAAAAAAAATTGCTTTCATTTAAGGTGAGTCGGTCCGCATCAAAGACATGGAGCGGTCGGGCCTACTTCTCCCTTTTAGGTCATCCCGCGTTGCTCAAGGTAAATGAGGTTCGTTTCGAAGACTCTGGCTTGTACACCTGCTCTGCTGTCTTCAGAGATGGGTCAATCATCAATTCAACTGTGCGCCTACACGTTGTCGGTAAATTACCTTCTGTTTCTATTGTTAGTTATTTTCCTCTTCTGCGCCTCTAAATTTCCTGTCCTTTATTCCCAAAAAGCGAATGAAAATTTCACCAGCAGTGTAGTTCGTAATCATAATCTTTTACATAGTAACCTCGTTACTACGCATTTGTAGATGAACATTATTTGGGATTCCAGTTTGATCCAATTATGCGGAATATTTTCTTATCAATCAGGAGAAAATGCTGAAGCTAATTTACTAGAAAAAATTTACCAAAGCTATAAAATATTCGATCAGGAGGATTCTACAAGCGTTCTGGTAATGATTATATTACAGGATAGGAATGATGGCTTTGCCTGTTGCCAAATCGTTCTGGCCCGTAGTAATAAATACGAAGGTCTTGACTTTAGCGGTAGCCTACTTTTAGTAGAAATTGGATTTTTTAACAAGAAAAGTTTACATTCCAATACTAATTGGCGTTACTACAAAGTAGAAACTATAAGCATTGGATCATTTCATAATGCACATTAGCGTAACCGCTTTCCGAACACTAAATGCGCTTGAACGAGTGATACATGCAAAAAAATGTATTACATCGATACTATCTGAGAAATTTTGAGAACAAAGGCTCGCGTTTAGTCAGTGAGCATACTGACTGATCAAAAAAAAACTAGTCAGGGCGTGTTAGTAAATATACAGAATATATTCGGAATTATATATATATATATAACTTAAAATTACCTTAGTTTTATTTGGAAAAGGTACTGGTCATGAACATATTTTATCCTTAATTGGTCAAAATAGGTATTGATTATGTGGGGCGAAATGAAAATGTTATTTAAATATGAAGTGTTTAAGCCTAGATACGGAACTTATGCATAATATTAAGCTAGCAGAAATGACTAGTCAAGACTGCTACTCGTCTTTCTCTATTTGTTGCCTTCTCTTTCCCTTCAGCTGACGATAGGCTCTCTCTGTATGAGCAAGTATCTCCTGTTCATTTTCGGTCGGCTTGTTTTAGCGTCATTTTTTTTGTACATTTCCATCTACGAAAATGCACTTATATTGCTTTGTCATTGTTGATGCACCAGTGGCACTAGCCTGGTTTATCCTTAGATTGTCGGAAGGCTCCTACTTTCCACAGATATCATTTCCCCAGACTTTTTCGCAGCGACGTTCTACGGCTTGACTGCGGTAATCGTTTTCCTGGATTGTTGCTATACTTCGGTTAGATTGAGGGGTGGGTCCGTTGGAGGAACTGGATGACGACTGCCAGACTTTGTGACCAGATTCTGAGAGAGCATGAATTGTGGCCAAGTTTTTGACATGGGCTTGTTGACCGAGCAATAACTATCATACTTACAAGTAAAGCATGCACTGGAATCTCGAAAAAGAAAATCTACTCGCAGGTTAGACGCCAGCAATCCGTACAGCATGGAGAGACACAGGCCTAATTAAACTGAATGTTTCCAATTCTGTTTCGGGCCCCGCTAAACATAGCCTTACAGCTAGTCTGTAATGAACGATGAAAATAGAAAGGAAAGTATATAAAGCCAAGCCAATATCTATATCTCAAAAAATTTAGCCACGATCTCCAAACGCGATCCGTCGCTGAGGCCTCATGTATTTCCAAACTGATTTAGTTTGTTAATTTTAGCCTGCTACGCATTTACATTTGACCAATACTAATTTTTCTGCTTTGACAAGCATAGTGCTACGCGTAAGGATACTTGCTCGACATAGCATTTCATAGAAACCCTGCTACGCTTAGATTTAACATTTTGAATATGATGTCGCGTATGGCGGGGGGCATTTCTTACATGAAGGGCAAACACTCAATTAATCTTTGGCCGTATGTTGCAAGTAGCCAGAAATGACTTTTACGCTCGTGCATGTCTTTTATACCGTTCCTAACACGAAGCCCTCTATGTAGAGTGCGAGCACTTCTGAAGGCCATAAACTGCTTTTCCTATGCATGGTACTCTGCTTAGTCAGTGAAATCTTGCAGACAAATTGCAAAATTATTGCAAGATTTACGCAGTACAACTGACAGTTTGACATGACGTTGGTCAACGATTATTTTGGACGCAAAACTTATAGGTTAATTAAAAAAAAATAATTTACTTTTTGTGTTAATATAATTGCAGTGAGGGCCTCTTTTCACGTTACTGTATTCTATAGATAACCTTTCCTGTGCTTACAAGATAACATTGTATTGTATATTTGCAGCTCCTCCAGAACCGCCACAGATTCGTGATGGTTATGACACCATTCTCATAGGAACAGTAGGTCCCTTCAATGAAGGCTCTCCACTGTCGCTTGTGTGTCTCGTCTACGGAGGTAAGAGATCTTTAATTTAACACTATTGGAAGCAATATTATACTAATAAAAAGAGGAGTTTCACAGCATGAATATGGTCACAACAATTGCGAGTTCGAGAGGCTAACAATCGCGAACCCGGTGCGCTATCCAGTTATAATTTGTTCACTTCTTTTGTTCATTTGCTTTAACTACATCAAACCGTCTGATTATACTCGTGTTTTAAAAATACTGTAATAAAATAATCAGACCGATAATTTAGTTTTTAAAAGTCAGCAGATAATGCTAATTAATTACCGAACAAAGTAGATTTTTAGCCTAGATTACTTTAATCGTGCATTCATTGAACCTACACCCATGAAATCATAAGGCTCAATCCTGACTTAAAACTAATCGTTAGCAATTTTTTCAGACGTTTGAGCCCACAGTGTCGTTACGTTCAACCAGTGTATATAGTAAAATTTTCCTCTTTTAAGTCACGAAATCACTTAAAACTTTATTATAAAAAAATATTTCGTGTACTACTAATTAATTGAAATAATTAAGTTGAAAAATTTGTAACGAATACAAAAGATAACATTAGGAAAGCATTAATTGTTTGTGTATAGTCCTTCTAAACCGCAGGAAGGGTTTAGTAGTTTTAGAGAAGCTGTAAGTAGTCAGCTTCTTTCATTTATAAATCTATACATCACACAGTAGCTAGTAGAATAAAATATACGCCCAAAGAAAGAAAAGAAGCCCTGTTAATTTGTTGGGTTATGCATAGATATTGTCGCGTTATTTAAGTCGAGTACACATAAAAGCAACTGTGCAAACCAAAATGCAGCCTCCCTTTGCCGTACGGCATAAATGTTTTGGTTTTTCGGGATCATTAGTATTCGTAGTTATTGTCGATGATCATTAACAATAAATAATACGACCTTGATTAAATGCCGCGTTTGTATTTCTAGAAGAACATGGTTGTTGGGAGTTTTGTTACGCATAGAAAAATACTCGCGTTTCAAGTTTCCAGGTCAAATAGAATGATTCTGTCATGCTGGGATTAGTTCACAACGCTTGTTTTATTGACGTTTATTATATGTAACATAAATACAAGTATGGATTGTACCGGCATCGACTTAGGTTTGGCGATCGAACATTGTCTTCAAGCCTACTGAGCCACCAATTTTATGGTAAATTTGTTTATTTATTACAATTTATACGGTATTTGTTGGAAGGACCTAATATCTTTCTCTATTTCTGTAGAATCCGTGACTCTTGCCATACAAATTAGTACAGTAACAGCAAATGTATTAATCCTCCGTAAATGCATTGAACCAAATTACGAATTTACAAACCTGCTAAGTTTACTTTATTTAATATTAACTAATCCAGTCTGTACTTTAGAATGGTAATGCGATTCAATTAGCAACAATTAGGATCAAACTGTGTAATATCCACATGGACATGCGCACTTACGTAGAATACCACGAACGTCTATGGGAGCCTAGGCAGAGGAGTGTGCCTCAGTGTAAAGCGGAGAACCATAAAGAGGAGATCTGACGGTAAGCTACAGGTGGATGACTTCGTGAAACTGCTCTATTTCATAGGCCATAATTCGGAAATCACCTTATTGCTCGACACATTGACCTTTTTGGCCCTATGTGGTACCACAGTAAAAGACGGACTTATGTTGGCAGTATGTAGTCGTATCCTGCCTGCAGCCGCTGCTTTTTTTTTTTGGCTAAGAACCTAAAACATGCTAGCTCCTGGAAAGATAACAGTAATGTATCCGTACGTGGGATGTGAGCGGGTTACAAATTTTTCCAAAATTAAGTTGCCTTCCAATCTGCCGCACTGGACATCCGATCAAACAGCAGAGACAGCCCATTCAGTAAGCAAATTGCTCGAGAAATGTCTTGAACCCGATTCAGCACTTGGTTACGTCTGTTAGTTTTCGTTAGTTACTCAGTACCACTGAACACTTGGACCGAGCAGATCCTAGCTACACGCTTTAGTAGTGCCAATTCTAGCACAAGTGAATGAGTCCAGGTTGTATTACTTGTAATTGTGAACATACCGTGATTTGTGACTTCGATTCAAATTCAGAAATAAAAGGATTGACTACAGTTATTTTTCTGCGGATCTTCTACGACTACGTGCGATTTGAATCAAATCGCGACATCGATGTAGTATAACTAAATTAGGCAGACGAATCCGTAGATCAAGTATCTTCTACCTGAGGTATCTAAATGCATGTATAGTTATTTGTACATGCACTGTTACATTGTTGCTTGCCAATAGCCAACTCAAGCTCTACGCAGGTAACCAAACGCTTTTGACAGTGGACTTCTCATACCCAGCTAGCTGAGTATCAGAGCGGAATAATTAGTAACTGGCAAAAAAATAACCAATTAAGTATCCATAAATGAAGTATAGGCGTGGCGAAATATCGTAACCATTTATTATACCCTTGATGGTTGGTTTAATTGATGTTTGAAGGTACTTGCAATACGTTAAAGGATAAAAAGCTTTCACACGCGTATATTAACTTATATTAGTGACAATCTCCAGGTTAAGCGGTAGAAAGGGCGTACGAATATCGCGTCCTCCTAGTACCAATGTACTTCCGTATTTATTTTCCTGTATAAATGACGTCGAACGTACCATTCAGTTATGACATGTACCCCATTGTTAAAACGTCTATTTTAAAAATTATATATTATGTATATGTTCGGGTGAATAAAAAGTTTTATAAAATACAATGATAATCTATAAGATAATGATGCGTCGGCGATTATAAATGCAACGCCCTAAGCTCTATTGAGCCGCATGGAAAAAGCGGGATGGGTGTATACAATTCGGCCTTCAAACCGCAGATGAAAAACTGGGTCAAATGTACTTAAGATCGTTGTATAACTGCTGTCCTTTTTATCTATTTAAGATATACGGTCCATTTGGTGTTTTAAAAATAAGCGGTCACACAACAAGTTTCACGTTCTATTGCTTGGTCCATATCTATTTAGTTAGGCTTTACGGCCTGCGCTTATCTGGGTGAAATAACTTATTATGACACCCTTGCCCCTGTTGCAAGCTAGCGATTTTTAGCATCCTAATCTCTGTGGCTGCGCTTTTGTACTGGAATAACGGCTTCATCTTTTTAGGGGAATCCAGTTCGTTCCTAAAGTTCTTTCAAACCGGTATGACTAAATTGCAGGCATCCACGCTAACTTTTTACGCTGTTCTCAGCAAAAAAATTTATGTCTTCTAAGTTCATGGAACCCCTCTGGTGAAGTGCTTGACGGCGATACCAAACCTAAAACTCGAAACGCACAGATTTATGAAATCTGGAGGGCAACAAACATCTCTATTAGGTCGAGTTAGTCGATGGCAGAGCTGCCACATTTTTGTGCTCATCAGCAAAGTTCTCCAACTAAATTAATATAGTTGTTTCTGTTTATGTGGGGCTGTTTGGTCCGTTTCCGTGTGTATGTGTGTGTTGTGCCTTGTCTGTTTATTTACATTGAACTCCACAGGCCGACCAAAGCCTACCCTCGAATGGAGTGGGATGCGCCCATCAGCTCTATTTGAGATTCGCCATTCGCAGGAAGCACAGCTGACCACAGCGACATTGGTGATCCACCGACTGGAGAGAGAAGATCTGGGCTCAACACTGACATGTTCAGCATTTAATAACATTTCATCGGCTCAGCATACATCGGTTACCCTTGATCTTAACCTCAAACCAGTAGGAGTTAAGATCCGTCGTTTACAAGCACCAATCTCTGCTGGCCTTCGAGTCGAAGTCGTCTGTGAGGTACGATATTCTGGCACATAAATATGTCATAGGCAACGTTACAAAAATGACGCGCAAAAGTGAACAAATGAATATTCTGTCGTAATTAGCTGTTATGTAAAATAGGTTAACAGAACAATATGATATATAAAACACGTAATACTCACAAGAGTGCATTGCAAGAAAATATATGGTAGAGATTACGACATAAGTATTTAGAACAGAAATTAGTAGCAGTCACGTAAGGTCAATGAAGACTGAAGTAGATCTGCATCTGGTATTGCGAAATGCGATATATTATTTCCAATGCAATTATTTCCAATGATCTAATATCTTTTGTGTGCGCCTATAGTTCCTTCAAATGTGTTAAAAAAAAAGAGCGTTAATACTAACTTCACAACTAGTAAGATTCTCACTAAGGCATGTTTATTTTCGAGAAGTAACTTAGGCTTATTTTCGACAACCCTAAGAAGGCAGCTGCTAGATTCATGGCATTTACGCTTTAATTCTGAGGGTCAAGGGTGTTATGAAGAGCTTTTTTCGATGCTCCGACAAGACACTAAAGTTTAATTTGATTCATAATAACTATCTAGGTGTTCGGTTCTCGACCTCAAGCGACGGTTTCGTGGTGGAAGGGCCTTAAGCAACTGAACCAGACATTTGAATATACTTCAAGTGATGGTAATGTAACAACATCTGTAGTGACTTTTACTCCTTCTGCATCCGATCACGGATCCAACATAGCTTGTAGGGCAACGAACCCAAGCATGGATTCAGAATCTGCCGAAGAGGATACTTGGAAAATCGCCGTTCAATGTGAGCAGTTAGCATTGATATTAAGAATCAGTTTTATTATTTTACTGTAAATTAAATTAAACTTCTATTTACTTGCCATTCAAATTCAAACCCACTTAACTCGTCTTTGTCAAAGTTCTTTTTTAATACTTTTAACGCATGCAAAAGCACATTATTTATTGTAATCTTGGTCAAAATGTGTCACATAAACCTTCTGAAATTAGGCTTTCTCTCTGAAAATTAAATATAAAAATACAAAGCAGGTGTCGGTAAGGTAGTCACTGGCTTGTATAAATACGTTCTAAGGTACCTTGCGACTCCAAAAAATAAAATGGGTGGTCTCAACGACTGCATATGGAATTTATATAAGAATTTATGGATGGAAATGAATAGTGCTTTTGCCATAGCCGATGTAAGCACTATCTGTTACAGCGGTAAAACATTTTCTCAAATTGTTTTGCAGGTGAAAAGTGTACAATCTATTTTTAAGTATTTTATGACTACCGATTGCAAATAAATTTTACTTTGAAATAGGAAGGATACACTAACGCTACTTTAAAAATTCGTTAATTCAATTTGAAAAGGTAATTTGAAAATTCGCTCGCATTGGCTCCTCAGCACTTTCCAACACGGACATTGCTATTGTCCCAGTACTCTAGAGAATCAGGTTTAGGCACATTTGATAACCAAGAACATATAATGTCGATCAATGTAGAATACCTTGCCTTTACTAACGAGAAAAATTCCACCATCTACTGTTGTTACCAACCCAAACAAAAAGTTTTCTCAGTAACTACCTTGAGAACAAATTAAACACTATCGATAGATAGGTATATTTTTAAAAACGCTGAATATCTTTTATTGCTGCCATATACCTAGATATAACAGCTTTACATTGGTGATGACGATATTGCAAAGTGTGCTGAAAGCAAGACTATGCTTATCATGCAATGGAAGACATGTCTTAGCACCAATAACCAGAAAAAAGATTGAAGGAATTTAAATCTACGAATCATGCTAGTAACTGTAAACTATAATATTAGTCATATTAATATTTTTATCTGATAATATAGTTTAACGCCAAATGTAGTAATAAAAAAAGGTGTTCGAGTTTTAGGTTTCGTCTTTTCAAAGAACTTTTCTCTCATGCGGTGATCAACATTGCCTTCAAAGCTGAGTCCTGGTGTCTATTAGAACATAAACTGCATGCGTTTATGTAGAGATAGCTCCTGCTAAATAGCAAATAATGTTGAAAATTTTTCTAAAAACGGGTAGACATTATGGATTTCAATAAAATACATATCGAAGGGAGGTAAGGCTTTACACCCGCAATTTTTTTGTATCCAAAGTGTTCCAGTGAATAAAAATCTTGGCGCTACGCTGGTAGAAGATTATAATAATTCTCTGTATTGTCTTTGTTTTATGCAATAATCAATAGATGCACCAAGAATTAGTTTGGCGTTGGGAAGCAAACTGAACGCGGAAAATATTGTTGAAAATAGTGACGTATATCTCGATTGTGGAGTAGACGCGTTTCCAGCAGCTGATGATGTCCACTGGACGTTTGAAGGAAAAGATTTGATTGCGGGCCACAATGTAATCATATCAAAGCATTTCCTCGTCATTCAGCAGGTTTGTTAAAGTTCTGTACTTATAAACTGCACTAACAAACAGTTGCTGACGAAAATGAATACCAATATATAAAGCAAATACGGCAAGCTACTCTGAAACTTGAAATTTTAAGGTTTTCCTTCCCTGTTTACAGCGGTCTCTCTTCCGTGATATTATTCTCACTTAAACGATACATGTTTAGTAGTTCATGCAAAACGTCTCAAATAACCTAGCATAGTTAAACTATAGAAAAGAAAGGGTCAAATGCTAACTCGTGTTCATGAATGTTTTACAGGTTCAAACACAGCATTCCGGTTTCTATTCCTGTCATGCAGAAAATTCAGAGGGTCGCTCGCAGGCAGATTCCCTGTTTCTTCGTGTTCTACGTTAGTAAATTTGACAGCCATCTAAATTCTTCATAAATAAGGAAATTATACAAATTAGTCCTTTTTGTGCACACTTCAGGTATAATTTGTTGACCATTGTTACGCAAGTTCTAAACACAGAGCACCGCCCTTTTTAGAAAGTATTCAAATGATAAATTTTATATGATATAACTTCGTGTTATATCATATGTGTGCGAAACCAATCGTTGATCAACACTCATTTTGTCGCAAGAAACGTGTCTATAACTATCTAATAACCATGAAACTATCTTAGCTTAAAAGCTAAACGGCGGACGGTTAATGTGCTATTTTATAATTTCGTAGGAATAAACAAAGCTCTGGCTGTCTTTATCATCCAGAGGAAGTAAGTATGTACAAATAGCAAAGTATTAATTAATGTATTGACGAATCTAAAAGTGCAAGATTTGTCATATTACAGAGACCAAAAAAGCTTGCTCTTTTGTGAATAGATGACGTTTCAAAGAATGTTTGAATGTATGAAACAAATGGATTGACAATAACTCTTGCGAAGAATTGTACTACTTTTTACTGTTTGCGTCCAATTATATTATAAACAGGCCTAAGAAGAATGATCACATTGAGTGTACGTTACATAAATAGATACCAATTTTATTTTACTCGGGCAGGTAGAATTGGTGCTTTGTTGGAACTCTTGCAGATGCTCCAGTATGCTCCGAAGATCAGCATGTACTATATGCAGCTACACGACATCAAGCAATTGAAGTGCATTGTCAAGTCGAGGCAGATCCGTCTAACGTCACTTTCGAGTGGTTCTTCCATCTCAATGGAAATTCCCAACAAGGCAAGAAAATTGAAGCAGTCCGAAGTCAAGGTACCCTTTCGATCGCCACGTACACGGCGCACGGCCATGGAGATTTTGGAACACTTACTTGCCAAGCGAAGAACCGAATAGGTGTGTGAAGTTTTTATCTGGCAAGTTATACAATTTATCATTGCTCATCTAATAACAATGAATCCATATTGTAGACGAGGTTGACTGTATTAGCTCTCTAGTACATGAAACGCATTTTATTAAACATATTAATAACCCCTCATTTGTTTATATATTCCTTATCGTAATGCTAAACTGAGTTTCCATATTAATATATAGTAATATACCGTGTAACATATAGGCTCATTATACTTTTTAAGCGAGCATTTGCTGTATTTACTTTAAATACGTTTGCTGAGTGCTTGAATAATTAGATCGCATAGACATAAGTACCGCTTTTAGAGAAAGCAAGACCTGATCAGTGGGTTAAAGGGGTGAGCTAGAGCATTGAAGGAGACGAAACTGGTTAATACTAATTTTCGATGCGTTTTCTTTAGACGTGTCAGGTTCTGCTAACATCATCTTTTATACTGCCTTGTTTCCCGTATATGAGCTTTAGACCCTATTAAAAGCGTATTTAGTACCTAGATTTTTATTTAACTAATAAGCGTAATTTCCCTTAAATAATTGGTACGGGTAAATTATACCTATATGCTTTCAGGTTACTATATTGCGTGTACTTGGTTTGAACATTTGCTACATCAACCTTCAGAAGAGGTGTGCGTGCAAAAATTAGGCCTGTGCCATGTTTATATAATCGGAGTAAAATAATACTGCGGAAAACGTGCGGGCTATTTGTCCCAGTCTATCCAAAACCTACGTCTCAATTAGTTAGTCTCTCTGGATATCAATTAGGGAAGATATTAGTCTGTTTACCTCTAAGAAAACGGCTTTCCTAACCTTTTTATAATCTAGTTTTCCATGCGCAGATCGGTAATGGTAAAAGTAAAGTTGTGTCAATACCACAACGTCTTTGGTGTCTTAATATCATTCGAGGACTAATATTGAAGATAATTTGTCTAGTCTTTCATAGTCTGGTTGAGTTTCTTAATTCCCTAAAATAATTCAAATATTGTTTTGAATATCGGAAAAAAAAGCTTAAAATATCATATTAGAAAGCTTTCTGAATTACTCGAGTAATATACTGCAAGAGTAGCATATAACAGAGAAGAATGGACTTTCCGACTAAAAAAAACTTCGCTCGCTTAAAGAAAGATAACTAATGATATTTACTGATAAAGAAAAGCTTAATCAAGTAAAAAAAATTCATTCTAAAAAAAGGCAACACTTTGAAGTTACTCAGTAATTATTAAGTTATTACGTGAATTCTATTGTAAAAGTATTTCTCAAGTATCTATAAATCTATAAATACCTAGGTGGTTTATCGGGCTGGTTGCAGTATTACGCGCACCTTTTTAAATAGCCCACATTTATTTCACAATGATATATTGCACTTATACAATGCGACTGCTTACCACTGGTGACGATTTATGATTTTTTCTAAGATTTTTTATTTATGGATACTGTACAAGGGGTAAAATTTTTAATGTATTTAAGATCATTTGAGGAATCCTTGTAAAATTCATATATACTTCTCCACTCGCTGTCAGCAACAAAGACTTTGTCACCTGAAAAAATCTAGAGAGAGGAACTTCTGCATACAAAAATGCCACTGTACAACTCCCAGTTTGACTTACACATTGGAATACGGGAGCTATGATGTACCTTATTAAAGGAATGTAAATTCATAGAAAGATTTTATAAATACACAAAAAGGCATCCACGGAATGACTTAATCTGCACCTGGTAGTTTTTCGCCATCTGAATTGCTAGTGTAAAGAACTTCAACTTGATTGAGAATAATAAAGATTAAACTATTAAGTCTTGAACTAAGTGCAAAAACAACGCCACGAATTCTACAATTCATTTATAGGTGAAATGAAAGAGCCCTGTGTGTTTCACGTCGTACCGGCCGGTCCACCTCCACCCCTCCAGAATTGCTCTATTTCAAATCAGACACAAGAAGCCGCTCTGCATCTGACTTGCATTTCGGGACCAGAAAGTCATCTTCCACAGGTAAAAATATAAGAAATACTCAGATTAATATTATGACGAGTATGCTAATAATTTTAAAAACTTCAAAACCTACTGTTCTTCATCAGTAATGTTGTATAGACAAGTATATATATATATATGGTGTTGTCACCCATTTAGATCATATCCAGACAGCTTATACCGTAATAGTGTAGCTGCTCGACCACTGTAGTGAAGTGCACATACATTGATTCCCGATTTAATTCAAATCCTATAAAAATTAAGTATAGAAATTGTTTTTCGACCCAGTACTCTGATCCGACCATTTTTGCATAAAGTTGGACATACAAGAACAATAGTTGATACCTAGATTATTACAGTTCATATTTCCATAATTATTTTATTTCTGGATAGAGTAAAGGTACAAAATATGGTCCACGACGTCTTGTAGCACCGAAACAACGATGTAGGAACATTGTCACCTGAGGTGGAATATCGGAAATAGCATATAGGCCCTATCCCACATATAGTAATTGCGCTTATTTAATAGAACGTCAAAATTCGATCAATTCCGTAACTGCTTATAGCTTGTTTATTCGAATTTAGAAAACCTAAAAATGACACACTAAATTTAAGCCGATGGCACACTAGTGATGGTTGGTGAGTGCAGTCCAGTATATTAGAAAGCTCTGGTAGTTATGTAATCGATTTCAATGAACCTAGAACTTCAGACCTGGATGCCTGCATTAGTCATTCGATGGCAAGATCTATTGATATATTACCCCATTTATTATATAATGTTAATCTATATCATTGAACATTTTGTTCTATCTAGTAAATTGCATCTACATACATTTCATTATTGTAAAATTGGGTTCAATCCTTTTATAGCTCGAAAACCAATAAATGGGGCAACAACATAGAATATCATTCTATACATCCCAAATAACACACTAGTTTAAGATTTAACCAAAGCGATATTTCATAATTCTGGGAGAAATCGGTAAAAACAGTCATCTATATTTGTGCTCAACCAACGGTGGCCCAACAGCACCAAGTATGAGCTAGTAAATGATAAAAAAATAAAATAATAATTATGATATAAGCTGTTGGAACTGTAATTACCACTGCTACTGGCACTAGACTGTCTTTAATATATTTGATCATTTGCAAATCTACTAAGATTTTTTAAAACTAAAGTTTGTTATTCGCCCCGCTATTTCTGTATTATTCATATAAATGTGCTAATTTTTATTACACTATATATTAATATATTCGGCGGAAAGTAGGCTAACACATGGAATTAAAAAGTAAGCAGGTTGCAAAAACAGTGATTATTAAAGTATGCCTAGAATGATAGGCATATCCTAAAATACACAACGTTGATTTTAGTGAAAGTCAAAGTTGTGTTGACTTTAAAGGTCGCTAGAGTGGCAGCAGCGCTCAAGTAAATTTTGAAATGATAATATAATCTTACTCCTCATGCGCATCCCTCAAGATATTCAATATTTTGACAGCTGCTTACCTTTGGCTTTGCCTGCTGAACTAATCATAACCATTTCTTGCAAAATTTCTCATTGCACCGTATGCACATATGTTTTCTAGATATACATTATTTTCTGATGCAATGATATTATTTATTTATAGATATCTTCGAATGCATGGTAGAGTTTAGATACTGAAGTACGTATAATATATTTACAATATTATTAATCCTATACGAACCAAGTAAATATTAAAACTTCGTTTTTCGTCAGATTTGAAAAATATGTACCAGCGGACATTGCTCTTATTTTCCGATTCTAAGCTTTTATCATAGACCATTGTGCCGTTATACGTGGCCCGTCAACTTGTACCGAATGCCGACTGCCGATACTATATTGTATTTGTCTCCTATGCCGGTTATTCCGTTGTCATATCATCAGACTCAGTTGTTTTAACTTTGACCGTAAACACTTTGTACATTATTTTTCAATTGCAAGTATTGCAGTAACCGGTTACAATTCTACCTTTATCTGCAGAGCATTTAAAATAATATGAGGAAAGCGATTACACATATTAAAGATAGAAATAGGATAATAATAGTTAATGGCGATAAAACCATGTAGCCAATTAATCGGAGAGCCTAAATAAACATTAGTGCGGTCCTTTATCCAAACAATGAAACAGTTTAGTATCATTTATCGGTGATTCCAATGACTAACAGTTCCTTAGAGGCGATACTATGACAAAGTGACTTATACATTTGTTAAATAAAATTCAGGAAAATAGAAAACAGGTTTCCGTTAAGGAGCTTGGGTGACATCATTGGGCGCAACTTTATGGGAGCACGAGAACCAAATTCTAAAAACAAGCTGGTTTAACGCATAACTCATGCCAATTTAAAGACTACAAAAGCTACGTTTTAGTAATACAGTGATTTTTTTATTAAAATACTTTTTAAACATTGTGATTGTACTTTAAACGAAATTAAAGCAGGGTAACTTATTCTTTTTTGGCTAACTTCGGTGACAGGTGGAATGGAAGGGTAAGAAGGTGTACCATCTATAATGTGCCCAATTTACGTGCATACTATAACTCAACATGTTTACGTTAAATGCACTATAGATACAATATCTTTAGTGTTTTATAGGAATGGTTTTGTCTTAATCTCGCTAAGAAGCACAACAAAAAAACAATATTTAAACCTGCGCTCTGTGAAAGGTGCTCTGAGAAAAGTTTTCAACCAGGAAGATCGCGGCAAGCCGGCGCTCAAAAATTGCCAATTCTTTTTTGTTTAGGAAACATCAGCGCATAGCGTCTTGCAGGATATTTTGCAAATTACATGCTTTTGCAGAGCATAGTTTTACAATTTTCTATAAACTCTACTTCCTTTTTCAAAAAAAAAAAGAAAAAGGGAAATTCGGATATATATTTAATTGTGCGTTAAATGTGTGTACCGATTGACACTTCGAGTATATCAAATTTTTAAGCCCGATGTTATTTTTTTCATTAGGGCTGTTCCGAAAGAAAACTTCTATTATGAAACACTAATTCTTGGAAAAAAATCATTTTCAAAAATACAAAAAAAAAAACCTGAATTTTTAATCATGTTTTATGACACGTTTCAATGCTGGTACGCATATCAGTCAATAGACGTAGTAGTATTTAGCGTCTAAACATAAGTTGCGAGAGAGTGATCACCGCTTTAAAAGAATAAAAATTGATTTAGCAATAGATTAGAGTAAGTATAGCCTTGAGACGATAAGAAAACGGTATTGCGATGTATAATATATAATTATGATTAGAAATACCAAAAAAAAACTTAAACGCGTTCTAGAATAGATACTCACGTGTACAGTCCATGTTATGTAAGACTTTTACAGCAAAAAGTAATATTTTCAAATGAAAAGGTAACGATTGTGACGTTCTAATGTATATAGGTATAGATAAGACCCAGATATAAAGTAAAAAGTTGACCATAGAGTTAAATCGGATAGTTGCTTTATCTATTGCATGCACTGTTAACTTCCAGCTTGCTTATCGCTATTCTTTGTGCTAACTTTTTATTGTTGCCACTTGTTGTCGGCGTTATCTGTCTATTAGGCCATAAGTAAATGTTATTTAAATATATTCGTTGCACTTACTGATTCGGGTATGGGTTGTGGCTGTAATGGGCGCTTACGTGACATTTGCCGTCTCTATGTTATTCTGAATAAAGTAATCATCGTATGATTTTTTTCCTTTGGAATAATATATTGTTCACTCAAAAACTCCTTTCAGCGTTTTTTTGCGGAAGTACTTAGCGTACCGGCCGCAACGGTCGTAGCCAATTTCTCCAATGCTCGTCCCGAGTTCTGGCTTGACGGTTTGGCTCCATCGACCGAGTATCAAATCCGCGTTTGGGCAGCCAATGACCACGGCAGAAGTAACGTCGCTACGCTTCTATCACCCGTCATGCCGCATGTTGGGAAGCTCACAGAATCTAGTATGAATCAGTGTTGTTAAACACACCAATGAAACATACACACTAGATAGCCTATGTGAATAAAGCAAGTTATTTAAACGAGTGTCCCTTATGTTGGAGACGCTTTTAAACTCATTATTCCTTTAATATATTATTTTTTATATTTATATATATATATATATATAGAAGTATGTGGAAACTGCCACATACTCATGTACCTGCAGCATAATTCTCATAGGAATGTAAACTGAGGATGACCGTCATCGCTGACGTATTTAGTGTAATATCGCGTTGAGTGCATTTAGTGATGTCATTGTGTTCATTCAAATAATGTCTCCGATACACCAAAGCTAAGAGACAATTATACTTGTGCTAAAATTTAAATAAAAAACAATAACAGTGAAGCATATTAAAAGAGTTTCTTCTGCTCTTTTTACGATAGGCATTGGGGCACCGTTATGCAGCGAGATTTAAATCTGGCGAGATGCCGACTTCCAGGTCTTATAGACTCCCATATTTGAGTGCGCACACTCGGGTATTAAAAAAATGTGATTACATTATTTTTCTGCTTCATTAATGATATTCTGCGGTGAGACTATCAGTTAAAGCACTGTAGAATTTGAGACTATTTGCATAAAATTTATAATATATGTCTTGCTTATATATATTTTTATATCAGGGATAATTGTCGAGAAAACTTCAATATACAGGCTGCAAAGCTTTCTTGACCATACAAAGCACCAGTCCTCAGAAAGAACATTCGCATGGGAACACTAGAGTATAGTGAAATTAAACGTGGATACTCTTTGTATACACACAAGGTGCGTGTATGCGCTTTTCTGATTTACTTTTCATACGTTTCACCAATCCATGTTACTATTGTACGTGCAGGTCACCCGTTCGAGTCGCTCTCGTCAAGCGCGCTGACGTTGAGTGTTCTTATCGCCGCTGGAATGCTTCTCTGTCTTCTTCTTCCAGCTATTTTGCTAACCGTGCTGAGACTTCACAATACTGCTGCTACCCTGGACGACGATAAAAGTATGTAAAAAGCAGTATCAATATTACGCTAACCAAAGGGTTGAATTTTATATTAATAAAAAAGCATGTGTGAGTATTTGAATGAAATCTATTCACGCAAAATGATTTACGTCTTTTCTTAAATTTTCAGAAACTGAAACCCAGACGCAGTCTAACGACTTTGATCCTTTAGGGCTAGAGGATTTTAAAACAGGTAGGCAACGGTTGTTGTCCATATTCTATCCTGTTGCTGCATCTGCTAAATATCTCATTATAATTGGAACGGCGTGGGTACGAGACTCAATGTCGTGTGATAACTAAAAAAAAATGAATATTGCATTTTCCCTTTTACTTATGTAGGCGCAGTCTCATCACGAGAATTGACAGAAATTGCCGAAGAGGACGAAAGTAATGGAGGCGGCGCCATGTCTCCGATGGCGAAAATGGGCTCTCTCGATTCATCGCTCGGCCCTTCATCCGGATTGGGGCCCCTTGGAAACCCATTGTCTCCTAATAGCACTCTGGGTCCGGTCTCGGGAGTGCTGCATTCAACTCGGTCTGTTAATGGATCTATACTTATGCCGCCGCAACATCATATGCAGGTTTGTTATTCATGTCAACGAGTCTTATATATGATGCATTCATATCTAATCAGTATGAAAAGGCGGTTATAGACTCAAACCCTTACTCAGAATGGTGGATTCGCTGTGGCCAATCAGTTCTTCTGGCGTGGCAATGCTTGACGATGTCAGACTTAACAAAAAGCTTTCTGTATTTTTCAGTTGCTTTTATTTATTTAATGCAACTGATAAATTATTTAGTTAAAGCTTAGCATACACTATAAACGACTTCATTAAGAGTTAGCTGAATTACCTCACTCAAACGCGTATTTTAAAACAACTAATCGAAAAGTAGAGAAAATGGCTCAATATCCCTCCCTTCTACTCTGTATGCATAAGCGAAATCTGTAGTAACAAGCGAGTTAGCTCTTAATCAGATACATCTAATTCAATGTTAAGGTATGAAGTGGCTTTGTTTTTGACCATTGCAAAAATTGGATTTTGTCTTTATTAAAGAAATGCGCTGACTATTAGGATACTCTATTACATAATTTTTCTCGAAATTTCCTTGACTCTACTTGAAATACTTTTTCGATTGTTTGTTTTTTAAACAACTTTATCGCATATAACTAACACAAATTATCACCAATGATGAAAGATTGGCAAAATGTGCTTATTAAAGAGCATAGTACATGATAAATAATGATGGTTAAACATTCTTTGGCAAAGAAAAATCATTAATCCGTAAGTGGCGCCCGTCTATTTTATTTTATTTACTTAAATTATTCTAGACCAATTTTGTATATTGGCTGATATAGATATGAACTAAATTTGTAAAATAAAAAAAATGAAACAATAATTTTTATTTTTGTCCATGGATTTCATAATTAGTCAACAATTTTTGCAAAGGCTAAGTAGAAGCAACATAATTAAAGCTAGTTAGCTTTTAAAAATCTACATAATTAACATAGTAGTTGCAGTGTACTATTATATTGATTCGTCAACATCGTTGTTTTCGACGTTCGTTTAATACCACTGTACCCTACGTCTTTTGAACATTAGTAATCGATTCATATCGCCTACAGGCAACTACGAAAATGATAGTTAAGTTGATTCCACAAAATATAGATAGCATTTATAATTTGTCTTTATCGATAGTAAGATTTAAGCGCTATTTTTTTTTTTAACTAACTTAACTAACTAACATAACTTCTGAGAAAAATCTGACAAAAACCATAACTGAATCACCCTTCATAAGAGAGCCTCGTTGAACGAATCTATGGTAATAACATCTGATTTACCCGAGTATGGTAACATACGTAAACCTGATAGCATTGCAAATTTTGAAACTATTGAACTTGCTTTATATTGCAGGCATTCCAAGATAGTGGTGGCCAACTACATGTTGTTTATCCAAAACAAGATGCTGCGATGCTCAACTGGATACAAACAACCGGTCTATAATGTATATTAACAATTCAATATAAAGATTGTTATAATTACATGAATGCTTCCCAGAATCGCGATAGCGGTACTGTCCTACCACTTGGCAAGGCGGCTACGACAGTTGGAAACAACCAGCGATATATATATATATATATATATATATATATATATATATATATATATATATATATATATATATAGTTAACGCAAAATAAATACTAATAATATAATAATGTAACGTAAATAAGAACGCATTGTGATACAACTGATATAGTAGAGTAAAAAAATACTTATGATGATAAATCTACCGCATAACACGTTCTTTTTCGATGTAAAGGTGAGCAGAGGAAGTCTGTAGAAACCCGGGTTTCTATTATTTGTATTTTTCGTTTAAAGTGACGACTAAAAAACAAGCGCTAACTCATTTTAGATTCGTCAATGGTAGTGTCTAGTTGCCTACCATCTATGACTAAAAACGTCTTGGTGAAATTCTGAAAACAGAAACTTAAGCAGAATAAATTAAATAGAGTTCGATAGGCATCAAAACAATAAGGTCTACACGAATGTAGGATGCGTAAATAGAAGCTGAAAATTTGAATTCCAAATGGAGTATATTTTGCTTTAATACAGAAATTTTGATCTTGTCACGAACTAAATATATGGAAAATATGTATGGAACAATACAGCTACTGGTAAAGAGAGTCCAACGATTAAGCGTTCTAACAAAATCGATTCTTAAGTTATTTGTTTCGCAAACATGTTATGGTTAGAGCGACGATAACCCATATGCGTATCATTTAGTGCATTTTACTGTTTGACGCGGATTTTGGTCACCTAGTTCATGTGACTTAATGCCTTAGGATTTTTTGAAGCCGGAAGTTCACGTCTATGTCTATCTAAAGTCATGAGAATAGACCCTATTTAACAGAACTGCAACCATAATTATGCCAAATCGTGACTGAATAATGGTCATATGTCAACAAAGTCTAAAGGGCGTTTGCTGTATGTCCAATTCTATACGATGTACACACATATTTACTTGATTATAGACTAAAAATTTTGTCCTTAACGCAAAAAAAGGAAAACTATTTTACCTGGAATTTGAAGCATCACCTTTTATTGAAGTCCCCTACATTTTAAATACACTCCCAAATATCAACCTGCTCTACTAAGGACAAGATGCCGAGAATCTTTGATTGTTTGGAGAAGAATCATAGCACACAATTATGGGAGAACATTGAGTATAAGCACGACAGCATTTTTTAAGCGGAAAATTTCCACCAACGAAAGCACACAGAATAGCTGTTAATATCGTTTTCAAATAAAAAAATAACGTGTCGAGTGTGCGATCTTGTAAAAGTCGTTACAACAACAAGGCATAATCAGATTAGACTAGGCTATTAATTCACAAATACTTGCAATAGAATACAAATATGACTGAAGCTTAAGCTACCGCTCTCCCAGTGAACTCTGACTGATATTAATTAGATAAGTATAAACCGGAAGTGAAAAGAGAAACACAAATTTCTGTTTATAATGAATATGGAAAAATGCAGTAGACTAGATTGCGACAAATAGATGGCTAGACTAGATTAAATGCTACTCAATTGAAGTAGAGGCTCTGTTAAGGAAATGTATAAAATACTATAAAGAATGTTATCAAGAACTAGGATCTTTTCGCTTTGACTCGCGACGCACTGTTGACGAGTGCACCGACGGACACTGAAAATTTCCTTGCGGTTGACATCACGTGTGCAATTTTTTTCAAAACTCAAACAACTCTGTTTAGTATTCCTTCGAAGTCCGAACCGGTTAAATATTGTCACTCCAAATAAATATAACGCGCTTATGCTGTAGTTTGGAATACTATAAAGTATCCTACTATTATTACTATTCCTACTAGCTACACCCGCACGGAAACGTTTTTACAAAATATGTTACAAACATACGCAGAATGCTCCACGTTAACTTCTATACCTTTCTGATCATCTACTTTGATAGAATGTGTGTACCTATAAAGCGGCATACGACGCGAGGAATACACACATTCGAGCCTATCATGTTATACCTAGTTCGTATGTGGCGACGGCTCCGGTATGTATTTAGTACGTGTACGTAAGGAGCCGCTCAAAAGAATCAAGGAAGTGGCTTCAATTCCGCGTCAAAAGAAATAGAAAATTAGAACGAAGGAAGGAGATCGACACCAGCAAAGTGAGAACAAAAAAGCGTGAAAAATGACTGACTGCATTCTCGCCGGTATAAATCACCGTATTGCCACTGGCGCAGGAGCTGGAGGATATAATTTGTTCCGCAAGCGTTTTCTATCGTCGGATAAGCGATGCTTGCGGTGTATGTATAATACTGAAGGTTACAATTGTATAAGGAAGCTCTTCTCCATTTATGTAGATATAATCGAGTGCTACTATAACTAAATAATAGATATTGTGATTATTATTCCACTTCTGGGATTCAATTGTGTTACGAGTAATAGCAGTGGTGGAATCGTATAACTGAGGTCCTTGTCCATAATGTTTGTGTCCTTGCCGCTTTTGTGTTTCGAGTATATACTATGACATGTAAATAAACATTAAATTTTCTCACCCCAGACATGCAGATACAGCATAGACAAAATAAAAGATAAATGGAAACATTACTTCATTTAAATATGCCCATGATCCTATCATATTGTAAATATTATACAGGAAGAAAAAAGCTGTTTAAAAAGCATCACGGACACGACACAAAAAACGGAACGCGTCTTCATATAATGAGAAAAGTAGTAGCAGAGCAACACATAAAAACAACATCTAAAGCAAATTGTGCGTAACAAATATATTGCCGAAAAATAGCAACGCTTTACAAAGAACAATCTGGGACGAAAAAAAATAGAAGACAAGGGCTAACTTAACTTGAGTTTTCTCATCTTTTGTGGGATCGTACATTCCTGTCTTGGTCTCCCATCGTAATCGTACTGCTCGATACCATTTCGCCTGTTTGATTGCCTTAACGTCAACAGCACAAATCTCGACAAGCAAAATCAAGCCAATTTGTTCGCCCAGATTTTTTTAACAACGAATAAGTGAATACATGGTCACCTACCTGGCAAACAACTCCTCGGAGATAGCACTCATCTGCTTCCTTGTGGCTTATACAAATGTAGATCGGGCTATTGAGAGAGTAAACGGGACATATTTATGTACAATTCTGACTAAAAACACTTACATCTACCCATATGCCCATACATACCCATATAATGGTACAGCATACAGGCGTAAAGAACGGGTGGTGCACCGGTGCTTACAATGATAGATAGTAAACGGCAAAAACAGCAAAACGAAGCTTTCAATAAATTGTGACTATTAAAAGAAGGAAGATCAATAAGCTCTAATGCTATAGCATGCTACTACTGCTGTTTTTGCAAACAGACATCATCGATTATTGAGTATGTGTGCAATAATTGGTTTCTCTTATAAGTAAATGAAAAACAGAACGGGGTGCGAGCAGTATACAAATAAGAATGTAGTTGTATATTGTTGTAAAATTTCATTTGGTCATGAAGGAAGACAGGAAAGGAGATATACATTGCGGGTGAGGTTGCTAAATATTTGAGTATGCAGTGTATAAGGTGGTGTTTTTGTGGAGTTTGTGTTGTTAACGGCTATCGCCGGTAAACACGATGAACGTACTAGGCCGTACTGAAAAATTTTCAGCGGTTAGTAGCTAAAGGATCTGTATTGTACTGATATAGAGGTGTAAAGCACATGACTGGAATTGTATGTCGACAAACTAGAGAACTAGGTGTACTAGAACTGATGAGCAAAGAGTTCTAATCTCTCAGTTTGGCAAATCTCCTATAAAAGGAATACAATCATATGGCTCTGGGACCCTGCATCAGACAATTTAACTTTTGCTACCCCGATACATCACTGATTCGTTTCATAAGGCTTCTTTAAAACAATAAAAGCTCTTCATTTCGTATCATATAGAATGAAATTGTGGGAGTGTCTAGGATATAAAATTTTCCAAAAAATGAGCGTGTGACTTAATTTTGCTGGTCAGTTTATATGTGCGCCGATTCTCTATTGGCAAGAGTCATCTGTAGTAAGAGGTTTTAAACGAAGTAAAATATTTTTCTAAGAAGTTATTTTGATAAAAAAAGCAAAAATAAACCAAACAAAAATAAAACCACGTTCTGCAGTTGCTGAAGTATTCGCCACTAGTTTTCATAACTTAGGTATATGCTTGAATTTGATTGTGAGATTGAACTTATTGTAAGACAATATAAGATTGCTTACTTACGAGTTCTTACGATTTTATGGCTAAAGCGAAGAAACTTGCCGAATTGGTGTATAATATACGAAAAAAAACCAGCATAGTTTTAAGTCAGGTATAAAATGGAAATAAAAGAATGATAAAGAAGAAAGCGGTGGATTAAAATAGTAAGTGTACTTGTCGAATAAGTAATCACTCTTTGTAAGAATCACAATTCTATAACCAAATAAACCATCACAGCTAGTTACTTTAGATAGACGAGAAAATTAAAAAATACTACATTTAAACATTCAAGAAATAGCAAGCCCAGAAATGTGCCATTAATAGAGTGAAAGGGGAAACTTGTGATAATTGGAGTTATCAGAAGCCGAAAAGTAATCGGAAGGAGCGAAGTACATGTATTACGCCTATAGTATGAAATATTTTCCTTAGAACCTGATATTACGATTAGCTGATTCTCGTAAAATTTTAGGTAAACGTGGAAAGTAGAAAATTTTGCGCAAAAGCAGCCTCAGGTTTCTTGAAATCGAGTCATATGATATACAGTTGAAAGGCACAAACGTAAGCTTACAATCGGATTATACGTTTTTCTACAGGCTAGAAAAACTAGTTTACATTTGCGTGAACCGACAGCTGATGATGAATATCAACAGTTATTATAGAGCAGCAATAATTTCAAAGAAATAGAGAAAAATGGTAAGGCATATATAGTATTCCAAACCAGGCAAGCAAAATGAGTTATACTTCGGACAGACACCATATAGGCTATTAAATATAATGAAACGCAAATACTAGCCTGAAAAAATTCCATATTTTGAAACTGACGATATCATATACTCTG